ATTGAACTAATATTATCTACGTATTGGTAAATTCTTTCTTTCACTTCTTCAATTCCAATCCGCGATTTTAGGTTAGGTTTATTTTGGTAACCTAAACATATCGTTTCTCAAATGCGGTCGAATCGATATTATTATTCGCAATTATTTGCTACACACATTTACAAGCGTTTAGAATTACCGTTTAGAAAAATATCGAAAGTGAAATGGTGTCAATTTTAAAGATATAAGATTCTTTATTGTCATTTTCATTAGAGATTTATGACACTTTTCATTCCGGAAAAACTAGTTTTTTCTTCCACTTACAAACTAATCAATCGATCATTCTTTATTTTAATTTCTCTTCGACTCTCGAGTTATTTTCATTTAGTGGCAAGATTTATGACACTTTGCCACGCAAAGTACGTCTCTTACGTTTCCTGCGTAAATCGAACGAAACATCGCGAAACTTTAAAGAAACTCGATCTCGAATGATCGGCGCTCGCGTAATAAATCACGCAAGGACGATGATCTCGCGAAAGTGTTAAATAATTCATCTGTTATTGTTGAAAGCTCGAATTGGCTTTCTAAACGGTCGAACAGTTTCCTAACCGGATTAACGATGGGCAATTTGTTTTAATTGCATACACGTTTCACACATCCTGCATTTAAATGTGTTCATTATTATATATATATATATATATATAATATCTTTTCTTCCTTACAACTTGGAAAATCTTTGTGACGTCATAAAAGAAACAAGTATTCTGCGACTTCCTGTTACATTTAGACTTGGATACGTTTCTTGATTAACATTCTCAATAACTTGGAAATTTATTATGAATTTACGTAGCGTAACAACTGCGGAATACTTACAGAATACTTAATTAAATGTAATTACAAAATAACGAGGTATTTTTATAATAATGTATATACAATGAATAGAGAAAATTTTTATTTTTTGCTGAATTTGCAAAATCTTTTAAACTTTTGATTGGGATGAAATAAAAATTTCAATAAGTATCTGAGAATTTTTTCAAATTCTTTTCAAAATCGAAGAATAGTAGAATGTCAAATTGTTCAAAAATATTAATTGCAGATAAATTTGTTCGAATAATCAATCAACGAATTAAATTTATCACAAATACGTGAGAAACAATTAAACAATTTTCAAATATGGATGTTTGGTATACAAAGGAATACATTTTTACCAGAACGTGTACAACAAAGAATAAATTAATGTTTTCGAATACAAAAAATTGTTACGTACATTAATTCAAATATATCCATCCATCTGTGTTTGAACAGCAATATCATTCGGATAATTAATTATATGAACAATTGAAAAGAAATTTTAAATGATCGATCATTCGAATAAAATTTCAAATAATCCATTTTCCACTGTATAAAAGAGTAAATACAAATACGTTTATCTGCGTGGATTAAATATTTTCTGTTCTTCTGCAAAAGATAAAAAAAAAAATTCACGAGATTTCTTTCGAAATATATTCGTAGCAATGTTAATGTCATCGAGAAAGAAAAAAAAAAACTTGTCTACCCTAACCCTAAGGTAATACATAATCAACATGAACAACACGTTTTAAGTAGAATCGTATAGAATTGAAGAGACAAGATTCGCGATTCGAAGGAAACGTATACCGAGAAATTCTTTTAAATATCGCAGGTGTGAGTCAGTTACGGTAGCGAATAGCTGGTTATTTTCTTTAATATATCTCGCCACGTTGAATGCAGTCAACGGAGAGCAATTTGCGATAACGGGTCTTCGGAATGATAGTAGATACTCGAAATTGGATTCGAAAAAAGAAAAATAAATTCTCGTAGGATTTCCGCTCGTTTGCATCCGATTTTACGAGCCCTAAGGAAGAAAACCGATTTTCCACCGTTGCATAAACAGTGTTATACTCCTCTTGAGGAACGATCGAACCCAATCGACTTTTTTTTTAATTTTACGACGGTAATTAGGCCAGCGAAGGTCTATTGTTTTACGTCTCCGCTTGTTGATCTATTTTGCATTTTAGTAGAGTTTTTCCACCTCCAATGGATGGAATCGTAAATTATTAAATATCGTTAAATATCCAAACGAAAATAATATTTTACTGTTCCTCTTCCATCTTGTAAAATTTAACTGGAAATTAAATTTGAATATTAAATGAAAAGTTTTAGTATTAAAATTATGATAATATGAATGGTAGCGAATCAAAAGTTATTGAGTAAGATTAAATAAAAATTCTAAATAAATTTCACGTAACTATCTGATATAATGATATTTGATATTTGAAATGATAATTAATCAAGTTAGCTAGTTTTAAATTATTCATAGGCATCTATATAAGATGTGTATATATATATATATATTTAAATTATTCGCTTAAATGCTTTATCATACTTTATCTGACAATTAATTATGCTCAAAAACTTTATATATACCTGCAATATCGATGAATATAATATATTTAGAGACATGGTGAGTATCGTATATTTGACATAGTAACATTTAATTTAAATCGGTTGACACCATGCTTTTCTCTTTTTTGACACACGTAGTAATCTTGTTTTCTGTTGGCCTAAATACTGATTCCACTAAATTCTTGAATGTCTAACACGCACATATTGGAACTTTCATTGTATCGAATATCGTACAAGGAACACGATGTTCCTTGAGCATATGATTCAATTGTTTTCAGTGGGATAGAATTTCGTTTCATTGATTTATATGTTTCATTGAAAAGAATTTTAATTAGGTCCTAATTAAATATATTGAATTCGGGTATCTGTATGTGAACTTCTGTTATTTGAAAAGAATCAATGAGCTGATTAAACTCTAATTAAATAGAAAATTGTTATTAACATTTTTATTACAATTTTTTTTCTGATTCATAAATTTTTACGTATTCAACAGAACTTTGATCTCAATATCGGAAGATATAATTACGTTAGAATTATTTTAAAGGAATTAAAAGTAAAGAGGATAAAATGAACGATGCAGAAAATGGAAAAGAATTGTAATTATCGATTATCAATACGATATCTTATTGATAGTTTTCGATATATCGATATAATTCGTGTTTTTAATAATAAAATAAATAGTCTTTATTAATAATCTTTATTAAAGAATTATATTTTTTTCAGCTACTTCTATTCATATCTTAACGATATTTTAACGATTCGATATATTTTGAATATATCGAAAACAATGTGTGAATAATGGAATATCGATAACCTATAAGTAATCGTTAAAAAAAGATTTCTAATAATGAATTTAAATAAGAAAAAAGTAGAAATTTCGATATTCAATCGATCGATAATTCCATATATTCGAACGATATTACCGATATATCGAATTATCGATGATATGTTTCATTTTTGATGCTACAAGATTTTTAACAAAACTTTCTATTTTACGAACCGTTGCCTTTTCTTTTTTTTTTTTTTTTTTATTATTATTACATTTTAAATTACGCACGTTTTCATAATTACACTATAATTGTACGTGAAATTTTTCATTCGATTCGTAACACTCGTTTCACTTACGTATTCGTGATTGTTCGTCTAAATGCGTGCGAAAGTCTATTAGAAGGCCTATAATCCTATATAAACGCGGATGATGCTTTCTCTTAACGATTTCGACGAATATTATAAATTTGAACGAATATTATCTTATAAATCTTAATGATATCGACTATAATATTGTAAATTTGTATACATAACGTTGCGAAGCATTAGAAAAACTCCTTGATCTATTTTTTTTATCTATTGAGATATTTTGTTACGTAAATCTAGAAATTTAATTCTTCTTTATTCTTTTATCGTTGATTTATTGTTGACATATTGTAAATTTATGCGATAAGTTAATAATATATAATCATAATAAAAAAAATATGTCGTTTATAACTATATTATATATGTAATATGATAAATAATATTAGAGTAATATTAATTGTAATGATTTTTATAAGATATTCTAAGAAAATTTTCAATAATTAGTGAAAGAATCTTTATAATAATCAAATGTAATTCATTATTAATAATATTCAAATAGTTCTTATTGAAATTATTATTGGAACGATAATTAATTCAATTTTTTCTACATTCTCAAAATATCAAATCGTCAAAAGAGAAAATGTAATTTTAAAATTACTGTATAACATTTATTATGTTTTTTGTCACGTTATATCTGATAAATTAATTTGAAAAATTATTTCGATTTCGAAGACAAATATTTTGAAATCCCGTTAGATAGAAAACTCTTTATATTTTTTTCATTCGCACACTGAAAAATCTTCCGATTTCTTTTCGAAATCATTCTATATTCTACTACAAACATATTTCGATTCATTCCACTTTCTCGTAGTTTTCGATTCTACGATCTATATAAACACAATGGTATACGTAAATACCTGTCACATCACAGCCAACAATGAACCATGGTAATTGTAATTCCTAAAGCCATCATGTCCAGTAGCGCGTCCACTGGCAGTGGCGTGTCGTTTTCCTTGCGAATGCCACGATCGTTTCTGTTTCTTTTTTCTCCTCTTTCTCGAGAACACTCGCGGTGAGTTCACTGGCGTCGCGGTAAACGTGTTTCCGTTCACAATTTTACAACGTTATCGCAAAAATCGAAAGTACGACGATTAACTTACAACGATTAACGGAAAATTTTTACCACGTGCGACTGCCGTCACGTAAAAAACGTTTGAAAATTTGTTTCAGGTTATACTTACAAGAAGCTTTTACCTGTTGCGCGAAAATTTAGGTTACCGTTTAATTGAAAAAATAACACTGGTTGTACATTCGTTGAATTCTTTGCTAAGGTTCGATACGAATTGAACGGATATATTTAGAAACGTTCGAACGTTGCAAACGTCACCCGAGTCTCTCTGAAGGGAACGCTCACCTGAGCTGAAACTTGACAGCCAAGAATTCGCCTTTGCGCGGTGCGCTGATGCGTCTGCGCATTAATACCCATCTCTCCTAAAACATCGTCACGTGCTTCTGAGTCAGTCCACGCTACACGTTGGTCACTGCACTATCACAGCATCGTGTGTTGAAAGGCAATGAAAATAAAAAAAATTGAAATGATTAGATGTGAATCCCCGCGAACGCATAAATATGGAAAAGTGAATAAAACGATTTGACTACTCTTACGAAATTTATTTGGTGAGTGTTCTTTCCTTAACATAATGATAAATTGATTTCTGTATAATGTAAAGAAAAACCTCTTCTTCTTTCTTGAATTATTTCGTAGAACTTTTTCAATTTTTCAACTCTCTTTATTTAATTTCAGTCTATAATTAACGATTTATCATGTATTAACATGCATATTTCTTTTTGTATACATACTATTATTAATTTAAAGCAAATAAAAAGGAATAAACATGAACAGATTTTTTTTGTTTACATGAAACTGAAAAACTATTCAATTTAGGTTATACGTTACAACATTATCATTAAAATTTCAATATACATATAATAATATTTCTTAATACAAAAAATTGTATTTTATAAATTTTTTAGAATCTTATAATATGGTGTTTTTTTTTTATATAAATGTTAATTTTTATAAAAAATTTTACTATATAAATTTCAGAAGATTTGAATATTAGTTTTATTCTTGAATTCGTATTTTTTACTTTTATAACTTGGTTAGCCTAAAATTGATATCAATCATCCAATTTTTGCTTGTTAAGGATAATTTTCCAAACGATTTTCAAATTGTTGTTGCGATAAAAAGAAAACAAATTAGAAATTGAATCAAAGGATGTCTCTTAATTAGCAGGCTGAAAACATAACGTTTAAATTTCTTAAACAAGATTCAGATTACTAAATACGTAGATCTGAAATCATACTCTTAAGTATTATTAGCATGTAATGACTTTATATCGCTTTTTATATTAAAATGCTATAAGTTTTATATAAAAAAAACTTAAAATTAAATTGTAGAAAACTAAAAAAATTTTAAAAATTTGTTTTTATTTTTTTGTTTAATATTTTTATATTTTTTAATTACTATTCTTTTAAAATAGTAAATTTATAGATAAAAAAAAAATCAAAATTCGTTCTATACTATACAATTCTTGACCTAAGTAAATTCTTTTTATTGAAGATATTTTATGAAGAACCTGTTTCTGTTAGAATAAAGAATTCTCTTCAAGGTAATTAAAAACGAATACATATATATATATTTATATTGCTTAACAATATTGATAAATTTACATATAATAAACGCACATATATATTTTTACATTTTAAATTTTTAAAAATTTTAAATTTATTACTTTTTTAATTAAAAATAAATATTTTTAATTAATTTACTAAAAGATTGATTCAACTTCAATTTTCGAAAATAAATGAAAAAATAATTTTAATAAAAACTGTAAAAATTTTATTGCTAATCAGTAAATCACTATTTAATTCAGATTGATTGCATTATTCATTATTATGTAAATACAAATTGTCCAGAATAATTTATCAAAATGATGTAATGAATAATTTGGATGTTACTCACATCCTTTAATGTTGAGCAATGTTTTTTCATGTGTTAGACATAATATATATTATATAATTTTTCATTAACATATATTTTTCTATTTAATAATAAATAAGCATAAAAAAATTCTACGAATGAATAAAATTCAAAAAATTTGAATTTTAAATTAAGAATTTGTAAATTTTCTATTCTAAATTAGCATGACATAGCATAAAGCATGGCTTACAAAAATTGTTATAGCATAGTTATTAAAATCCTCGGTTAATGAAAGCATTTTTTAAAATAAAAATTCTTTTATCATGATAATATTAATTACTATTTACCAGTTATACATATACGTTACATAATTCGGTCGGTAGTCGCGTGGGATCATTAAGGATAAACTCAGATGCCTCCTTTATGAATCCAAGATCTTTTCTACATGTCTGCTTGCTATCTTGCATTTTATTTCCGTTCTTTCTTACATCACTACCAATCATACCAGTGCATATTTGCCGCAAATGGAATTCATGTGAATTCATACTTATTGTTAGCGTAATCAAACTAGAAAATAATATCGTTTGAATCACATTACAAATCGTATCGGACGGAATAAAAAAAGTCATTTACAATTATCAACTACATTTGATTCTATTCTATGGGAGTTAACATCCGGCTTCATTGTATCTGTCGCGTTTTTCTGCGAGGAAAAACTTTGTTTCGTCGGAACGTATTGTTACGTTAGGTTGGACCTTCGATCTAAAATAGAATTTACGGTAAAATAGAAGAAAAAAGAAAATGTTGCGATACCGGTAATTTTCTTTTACATCATCAATTCTCTTAGAATGGAAATATCAGATTCGATTCGTATATATCGGAATTACCCTAAAGTTTAAGGCAATCGGTGAACAACGTTACGTTTTGAAATCCCAGAAATAGTTTCTTCAATGAAACAATAGAAAAGTTCGCAGAACAGTTTGCCTGTATATCATTCTTCTATTGTCATACCTTCAATTATTTATATACAATTATCATCTTCGATAATTGCATGACCTGAAATGTTGGTAAATTTCGAGTTATATAATCCATTTCTATACTATTGTCCATCAGTTTCAAGTCACCATAAATTCGTTTTATCGAATATTCTTTACGTTAAATCTATCGATAGTGATCTTCGAAGTCAATAATTTTCCACAAAGTTAAGAATAGAGAAATATATTAAACGTCTTTAATGTTTATGTTTATGTTATTTTTTTAATACAGACTTAGTTAATTTAATAAAAAAAATTTTTTAATCTACTTACATAAGTCATGTCATTATCGATTATTTATTCTGGATTATTTGCTTCTGGTAAATTACATAATATATCATCATTAACTTAATTTAAAGATACTAGGTAATAAATGATTTAAAAAACTTAATTTTTATTATTCTAAACTATATAAATCTTGCATATTTCTATAATGTTAAATAAAATAATATTTAATATAAATAATATTGGTAATTGTTGGAAATAATATATGTTTCAAATTAAATATTAAATTGTATCAGAAGAAAAGAAAATTATATCAATAATTACCTTTCATTCATGAATCTTTGCAATGCAAAAGAAGTCTAATTGTGGATAAGAATAATTTCAAAAAATACAAATGTACTAAATAATTTAATTGGTCATGAATACTTGTAATGAATACAATGGAACTTGTTCATGTTGCATAGATTTCATAATTATCAGTTCCTGCAATTTTAATTTATCATTACAGAGGATGTCAAAATTACAGTGTCAGCATACATTTTCTTTGAATTACGATAATTTTTGTCATTTTTCATTTATACTTACTAAAATCACTATTTCTTGTGTATTTTATTTTATTTATCATTTAAAATCGTTAAATATGTGTTAATTTTTGAAAATAATAATATTAACATTTCTTGTAAGATCATATATAATGTTGTTTAAAGTTGGTTAGAAAGCACTCTGTTAAAATATGAAGTTCACGGAACTGAAGTACAGTTGAGTTGGCTCAAGTAGTAATCACGTGATTTTTAGAATTTCCAATTTCTCGGCCGATATAATAGTAAATATGTGTGCTTATACATAGTTCTTTGTTATCTATGATCGAATGTATTGTCTGTGGCTGACAGTTATTTGCATTCTTCATAAATTCTTTTAAAACACATTAATGTTTAAATCCGTTATTTTAGAATTCTTTTTCATATACTCGGTTAATTGTTTCTTTTCCTTTTTTTTTTCGAATTATTGATTAAATTACGGAACAAATACTTTAATTCATTTAAATAACGAATATATTATTGAATAAATTTAGTCACAACAGTATTAGTGTTTGCTCAATATTGTTTATAGTTATTATATCTTTTATGAAAGATATTTAAATTTATATATATATAATAATTAAATATGTATAAAAGTAAATATAGGATAGATATCTTATTAAAAATGATACAATTGAAAGAAAGATAATTTTTTTTAAAATTAAGATTTCGAAAAGAAACAAACACTAAGTATTTATTTTGATTCTCAAAAATCGACTTATTGCATTCTATATTATCGACTTATTTTTTTTCGTAACGAATTATCCAGTCTTTTGTGTATCCTTCGTCTAATGTTTATACTAAAACATTCTGTACCTTTCTTTCTAACTGAAATAGTTCAAAAATGTTAAATTGTGCTTAAAAAATCGTGTTTATTAGATAATGGACGGATTATATTGGCAGATTTATATAATATTAAAATATTATATATACATTTCTTATTAATATTCTTGTTTATTGATAAATCAATCCTAATTATTATATCCTTCGAATTGGAGAATATTTATATGATTTTAAAAATAAGACTAAGGATATAACATGTAAATTATACAAATTATATGAATTTATTTCATTTTAGGGAGATTTACCTGAAATAAAGTTAATAAAGCAGCCGTTTTCATCGGACGAGGTGGCCGAGTGGTTAAGGCGTTGGACTGCTAATCCAATGTGCTCTGCACGCGTGGGTTCGAATCCCATCCTCGTCGATTTCGCTTTTTGTTACTTTGCAAAAATTTCTAATTTATAAACTATGTGTGTTCGTAGAGAAAGTTGATAAAAAAATTGATGGCTCTTTAATATTGAAGACACAAGAGTCATTGAACTTAAAAACACATGTATCCTTAAGAAAAACAAACAAGAAGCAATAGTTTGGTACGTACAAATTGAAACCAATGGTATTTTAAAATTATATATTATTTGAATTATTATTAATGTTATTAAGAAATATATATAACATACAAAAATATTTTTCATTATTTAATCATTTTAATTATTTATGTGTTACAATGAATGTTGAATGTGTTATATTAATTATTTATTAGATTTAATAACACAATGTACTGTATTCATTAATAACTAAATTAAAATGAATTTGTGAAATAATTATTCGTACAAATTTTTGTTTCTTTTTTTAGGATGCAAAATATGTGAAAAATTTTAATATCGACGAAACGATAATATGAAATTTATTTATTTAGTTTTTAAATATTACTTCTTTGAATAGAGTTATGATCGTTGATGATTTCTTGATGTTGCACAATCAATTATGTAAGTCATAAATACAGAATGCACACATTCGATCATGAAATTTTTTGTGCACTCGTTCTATCAATATACTTTAATATAATATTGATTCGAACAGATCAATCAAAAAAATCAGAAGAAATATAGCAGAATAGACAAAAGAAGATGAGAAAATTTACCAATAAGTAATTAATAAATTGACAAGCAATTAATATGATTCCCCTTAAGTAAAATCATTATTCATTAGATATTTAGTTGAGTGCAATATCATGAGAAACAATGGAATCCAATAGATTTTTCTCAGTGTAATAACGTATTCATGTATTAGAACAATTAATGTATCATATATTAAAATAGTTAATTTTATATTACGCGAACAACAATTTATTTGTTTAATGAACCATAATAACGATATTTCAGAGAAACATATTAGATAATAAAATTACTTTTGTACGTTATTTTCCATTACTGAACAACAATATAAATATATTATATAAATATATATTATTAAAAGCTATTATAAAATTTAATGTTTTAAATTGATGTTTTAAATTATATATTGATATATGCATTTATGTATATATTATTATATATTATTTATATTATATTTTGTATTATTTATGTTTTGTTTATGTTATATTTTCTTTAAGTAAATTTTTATCTTCTTATAAATATTTATGCATATATATAAAATATTTATAAGTAATTATATTATATGATATATTTTATTTAATATATTAATACTATACATAATTACGTTAATTAATACTATACATTAATACATATTTAATTTTTAAATGAAAAACTCTTTATAATTACTCATTTTCAGAAATCAAAGATTTATGACATAAAATAAAAATATATATATATACATATATGAGAAACTGAGAATGATTATGACAAATAAATCAATAGTAATTAATCAATATGATATTTAAATATAATAATTTACAATTTATAAACATGATTGTGTTATAGATAAGATTTTGTAGTAAAACTATTATAGATTATAATAATTTTGTTAAAAAGTATTATACAAGCCAATTATTTTAATGAGCAAGGACTAACTGACAAGGACATATCTTAGTTAGCATGCTTGTTGAACAATTTTTCAAGACAATTATTTTGCAAATTGTTACGAGCAAAGATATCGCTTTGATCAAGGCTATCAAATCGATAAAACAGTAGGAAATGTAATCACCTGTTGTAGTCTCTTGTCAAGATTAGATTTATTTAAGCATGCGTTAAAATAGTTGTTGCAGATAATATGCTTTTAAATAGTTATTAATTGTCCTTAATTCGTATTTGTTTTTATTCTTCATCTATATAATGAAAATTATTTTTTTATTCTTAGAAAAGTGATTTAGTGTCTTTATATTATTTCGAAAAAAAAGAAAATTTAGAATTATTTTTTTTAATAAAAAAGAATAAATCAATAAACTGAAATTTTTGAACTTAAAATTAAATTATTAAACTTTACAGTTAAAAAAAAGAATAAATAAATCCGTATAACTTGAAAAAATTTTTTTTATTATATCATTTAATAATAAAAATTATAATTTTAATTTTTAATTTTTATATCGAAATATGTTATTCTAAAGCAAATGAAGCAATTTTATTAATTTTATTAATTTAGGTATATAAAAATGTTCATGACACTGTAAACATTTTCAAATGATAATACTATATCAGAAATGATGCTTAATAATAATGTTCTGTTTTATCGACGTTACTTCTATGATTGGTCATAACGTGATGTGAACACTTTTGTGTTGATCGTACGAAGGTAGTTGTTTTAATATAGGTAATGCAAAAAATGTCGTATAACAGAAGAAGCATTGGAGAGCAAACACCGTTGTTGAGTAAGTTTGATTTTCCAAGTAATAATTTGTCGACAACTAAATTTGCATCGTCATAAGTCTTTTTATTCGATATTTCATTATGTTTGTAATATTGTATACAATAGATAATCATGTAAAATTTATGAATTATTGTTTTTTATACAATTTTTCAATTCATTTCTGTGAAGAATTTTATTCACAAAAAAATTTTATAATAATATATAAATGTTTTGATATTTTATATCTGGATGTTTCGTTATAATTTTATGTAATAATATAAATCATAAACAAATGAAATCGTGGATGAGCCGTTAAAGTGCATATCTAAAAATCAGATGTTCTTTGGTTATGTGAGTTCGAATCTATTTGTGGTGATAATGTAAATATATAAAATGCAATTATTAATTTTTTTTTTTTCTCTTTTAATCGAATATTTCTTCAATTTTAATATATTATATCATTTTTAAATTATAATATATATATTATATATATATATAATAAATAAAATAATATATGATAAAAGATAATTTACATATTTAATTTTTTTAATCGAATTATAAGTTTTATATACTAATTTTTTAGAAATTTTTAAAAAATACGTAAAATATTATCTGTGGAATTTATAGCAAATTTGTAAGTATATTTGATAACATACAAAATAATCAATATAAAGATAAAAAATTACAAGGATATTATCTTGTTTTTATCTGTCATGTTCTATTTGAAGAATTATAATTGAGATTATTATTGAAAATATTTTTTTAAGGTTTATTTATTTCTATTTGAATATAATTTATTTTATTAATTTCAGCTATTGAAGTTTATGACTTTTAAATTGATATTCAGTATTCACTGCATTAATTAACTATTGAAGAATAATAGATATTTTTTTCAAATATTATGTTGATATTTCTTATTACCATGAAAAATAAAATTCATCGTTATTTTTAAGACATTCAATGTTTATAATTATAAGATTATGAAAAAAATTGTAAATAAAAAATGCAAGTCTTAATGAAATGTTAATTTAATTTAATTTAAAAAATTTAATTTTTTAATAAAAAAATATTATTTAAGAATGTTATTGTTATTTTAATTTTATTTTAATATTATTACGTTTTTATATAGCTGTACATATTATTTTAGGTTTAGGTTATCATTTTAAGTTATAGATTTTATTTTTTTTATTTAAATATTTTTTGATTAATGAATGTATATCCTAGTTTCTTCTTCTTTTTTTTAAATGCATTGAAAATATACAATTAAAAAGTGTTACTTTTTTAAAAAGATGATATTATAGTATAGTAAAGTATTTATAATAACCAGAATTAAACGATAGTTATTATTTTTGGAAAATTAATAGGTATTCATTTACTGTATTTCATATTTACAATATCAATCTGTTGAAAAAATATTTTCAAATTTAAGAATAATAGTATATACAATGAACAAAGAGATTATTTGAAGATGATATTTGGAATATGACTTTGGAATATGACATGGAATATGAAATGTCATATGTTTCTTATTACATAGCATCATGACTTATATTTTATTGCTATGTATTTATGGGAAATATGATACAAGACTATTATCAGTTTAATGTTAATTTAACATCTTTTACAATTTACAATATATTTTATTGATTTTTTTATATATTGATTTTTTATATATCGATTTTCTAATAATTGATTTTTTAATATTTCATAATATGTGTCAAATTATATTTGTTCTATGATAGTATGTTTATGTATTATATTTCGTTCTTCATTAAAAAGTATATCAATATTTCATTGATCGATGTATTGGCTCTTCATTAAAATTTTTAATATAAGTATATTTTTGTTAATTTCTTTTTTTTACTTGATGTATATATATCATACTATCGTCATTATTTGTCATGTAAATAAATTATATTATTAAAAAAAATTAATCATATTTTTATCATTGAAAATCATTTTTCAATTTTATAGAATTACTATTAAAATATATTTTCCATGGAATTGTTTTACTTTGAGATTAAAATTTAAATAAAAATTATAATATTTATTCTGTAATTGACTTGATTTAATTGTAAAGAAATTCTAGGTTAGGTTTTTATATAGTATGTATATTACATATTATTATATGTTATATATATTACCAAATTTAAATATTCTAATATATAAGAATCAGAATTCATAAAAAATCAATCAAAATTCAACATTATTTTGTTTTTATTCATTTTTTAAAGATTTGCAAAATTATTGCGAATTATTAAATCACACGGTTAAATGTTATTGAGAGGCGGATTAGGATTTTTTTCTTACGAAACTGTCGTAATTTTACTGTCGTTATTAATCATGTGACTTGTTATCAAGAGGAATTACTAAACTCGTCCGATAAAATGTTTCATCCAAATTGGAATATCTCGGTGAATAAAGAAAGTCCCTCTATGCAGTGTCAATATATTGTCAGTTCGAATCTGTCTTATCTACAGAGTCTGGTAATCACATGTTATCTTTACATTCATCTTACATCTGAAAATTTATTTATACCGTACCTTGGTTACTTATCGTGATTTTAATTGTGATCATGTTTCATTAAACATATTAGTGTGAAAATCGTGGATAAACAGTATAATAGAATACATCAATTGTGTTTTGTGAATCTTCTTTTTTTTGTACAATATATTCTGATTTTTCGTGATTTAAATCAATTGTTTTATTGATCAAGAAAAGATTGTGTATTTAAATTATGGTACTATGTAGGTAGACATAAAATCAATACGAAAAAAAATATATATCAATATAAATATATACATATTATATATATATATAATAACATTAAATATAAACTATAAAATATTTGTAGGTTATTGAAAGAATCTATCGTTTATTTTAGAAAGTTTTTCCTAATTAATTTTCTAATATATAAAATCGTAGTATTTAGTATCTGTTTTTGAAAAATATCTCTAAACCGAAGAATTAAATTATTTATTAATATTTTAAGATGTCTTAACTCTATATGATATGTATACGTATATGATATGTATATTTAAGTATATTTATAATTCTTTTACGATTATTTACTTCATATCAATCTTTCCGATTTTTGCTCCAAATTTTCATAGTAAAATAAAATTTCAAATGTGCATATTATTTATTTTCAAAAGTATTATTCAGAAATTTATATGCGATTTAAAAAATGAAAGGCGGGAATTTCATACAAACATAAAAGTTGAAAATATTGCTTGTAATATTTCATCTGATCCAATTTGACGTACAATATAAATACAATTTACGTTATCTCGAACAAATATTGAATCTTTGAGAAAAGTTGACAAAAATTTTATATTTTAGTCATAAAAAATACTATGATCCAATATTAATAACGTCAAAATGAAAGTAGGATTCAATTCTTATTAATAAGAAAAAATATAATAATAAGAAATAATAATAATAAGAATAATAATAATAATAAGAAGAAGAAGAAGAAAAAATTGTTCTTTATTTATTTGAATTTTGTAAATTTATTTATTTTTAGAATTTGATTGCAATGATTTTGCAATCAACAGTTGAAAATATATTTTCTTTTAAATTTGATGATCTTTCAATAGTAAAAAATTAATTCCCTCTTTTTTATTAAAATTTTCTAAATAATATATTCAATAGTTTTTTAGATATCTAGTATATAAGACATATATTGCATTTCCTGTTTTATATGATAATATTGTACTTATTAGCAACGTTTTATTATGAAAGTAATTTTGTATAAATATGCTAACATCATGAAAATACTAACAATATAAAAGTTATAGTCAATGTAACGAATATGTTGTAATACATCCTTATTGAGGACTTAATTTCCGTTCTTGGCATTTTTCATCCGGTATTTATTGTATAAGAATCAAAGTCTCGTTTTATTCCTCTTAGAAATAAGATTTATCGATGAAACGTATTTCTTTAGCGTAAAATATATCCGTGAATATCGATTCGACATGTTTGTAATGAGATTTCATTATTGTTTTTCAAGTGCAGTTTCATCGTGAGATAATTAGTGAAAAATGTCGGAAATGATATATATGCCAGTTTCTACAAGTAAGAATCTTTTAAGAAAAATAAAGAAATATAAAATTAAGTAAATGTAATAATGAGATATAATTATACGATTAATAAGTTATATAATTATAAGATTATTGAAAAATGTATTTTTATATTAATGAGATGAACATATTTAATTCGTATATTTAAAATTATTTTTTTCAAAAGGATTCATATTTGTATATATAGTTGTAATTATAGTTTGAAAAATTTTTTTAAATTCTTTAAATTTTAGATTTTTTCAATTATTTAAGGTTTAATTATCTGATATTGATTTATTTGTATACAAAATGATTCTTATACTGATTAACATTGAATAAAAATGAAAGGAATGAATCATAGTTTCATTAATCTCAACATATTTTAAACGATTTAACTGTATATTAACAATGTAGCATACGTTATTCTATACATTATTTTTACGAATATAAATTAATGTTTATCTGCTATATTATCGATTTATCAAACTAATGTGTATATCCATTATCTCTTAACAGAATAATAGAGTGTTTGTCAATATGTGATTGTTTATTCCATAATTGGTAAATTATTGGAAACGAAGAATTCCTATGAAATACGTATGTAAACTTAATCATTTATTGATTGAAAAATGTTTTCGTTCGAGAAATATGAATTTTCATTAATGATTTTCCAAACGAGAATATTCCAAATGAGATAATAAACATTTTCATTTAAAAATAATTACATAATTAATCGATTAATTAAAAATTTGTTTGATATAGTAGATTTAATTGATTCATAATTATTTACTTAGATACTACACGTCTCATTTATAAAACGATTAATTTTCTTATTTCTTATTTAAAAGTTAAAGTTTCTTAAAGTTAATTCTTCCGTTTCTAAATTTTGTGTTCGAGATTAATACAAGAACTTTTTTTTTTGTGAAACTTCGTTTCATTTTCAATTATTTAAATATATTTTTTTTAATTGAGAAGACAATTCATTTTCTTCAAATAAATGACATAACTTGCAAAATTTCAGGGAGGAACGTGACTTCTGGATTCAATTTAAAGCAACTTCTTCTACGAAGGATACCAATCTTGGCATGGATACCTCAATATAGTTTGTCCAAACTTCTACAAGATATCTTGGCAGGATTGACTGTTGGTTTGACCGTTATACCACAGGGTATAGCTTATGCAATTGTAGCCGGACTTCCAGCTCAGGTGTGTACATTTGTCAGATAAAGATTTTTTTCTTTTGGAATTGAAATAAAATTTCAGAGAAGGAAAAATTGGAGAAATGGAATGAATGAGATTTTTGAAATCTAGCTAATCTCTTCTTATTACTTATTTTTATAATTTATATTTTATAAAAAAACATGTTCAGTATATGTTTTCATATATCATCTCGTTGCATAAAATACATGGTTAATATTTTTGATATTTTGAAATTTTCAAGCCCCTATAAGGAATAATTATATTTGCTCAAAGCTCAAATAAGAAGCATTTGCTCATAATCTTTTAAGAAGATTTAGACATTCCACAATAAGATAATTATTAATTACTGCTGAAGGAAATAGGATCTTGGTATATTCGTTATATATGTCTTAAAATGTTGTTCTTTTTTTTTTTTTGAATCTCTTTCTTAGCTTCATAAGCAACTTAATTTCTTCCCTTTCTTTTTCCTTTATCAATCAAGGTTTTTAAGGTTATGTTATTTTTTTGTAGAAATTTTAATCCATTTCACTGAATATGGTAAAAATAATTATCTTGATCAAGAAATACCTATAAATCAATGGTTTTGTTCATTTATCAATTTTTTAAATTCTCGTTATTGAAATAAACAATCGAACACATCTAAAAAATTTACCTGTAAAAGTTGCTTAATCGCAATAGTCGGAAATAATTATTAAAAACGAATAGTCGTGTCGAAAGATGATTAGATGAACTTTTGAAAACTTCAGTACGGCCTGTACAGCAGTTTCATGGGATGCTTCGTCTACTTGGTGTTCGGTAGCTGCAAAGATATCACCGTGGGACCTACGGCAATAATGGCTTTACTGTCGCAACAGCACGTTATAAGACTGGGAGAAGATATTGCGGTAAGTGCATATTTTTCATAACATTCCAAACTATCTTTTTTATTATCTATAATTGAAAATTTCTTGAAAAATAACGACTGTTCGTGGAATTTTCAAAGGCCAGAGTTTGAAAAATTGATTATTTTTATTTATCAAAATTTTAATAATTTTCTACTATGAAAATAACGAATCTTTTTGCTTCTTAGGTACTTCTCTGCTTCCTGACTGGCTGCGTGATTTTGCTTATGGGACTGCTCCACTTGGGATTTCTTGTAGAGTTTGTTAGTATGCCAGTGATATCTGGATTCACTAATGCTGCTGCCATAATAATTGGAACATCTCAGTTGGGCACATTGCTTGGCTTAAGTGGCAGAAGCGATTCGTTCGTCGATGCAATTGCTAAAGTTGTCAATCATTTCGATAAAATTACCTTTTGGGATCCCTTGTTAGGAATCTGTTCCATGATCCTGCTCGCCTGTCTTAAAGTAAGATCTCTTTCTAAATGCTAAAATTAATCGATTAATTTCGCTCGATTCAATCGTTTCAATTATACATTTTCATATTTCTTTTATTTGCAAATATTCTAATCTTTTTCTTCTCTTTTCTTATCAATAATACATTGGTCAATGTAACTGGATCTGAATTTTATCTTCTTAAATATCGAAAATAGAAACTACCTGGAAAGAAATCGGGCACGGTTACTGAAAAATTCATGTGGGTCGCATCTCTGGCCAGGAACGCTGTAGTCGTCATCTTTGGAATAACATTAAATTATTCATTATCCTCTTATGGCATTAAAATCTTTAAAAGTACTGGAAACATAACGGAAGGTCTGCCGTCGTTTGCGCCACCGCCATTTTCCCTTGTAAAGGGAAACCACACGTATCATTTCGAAGAGTTAATCGGTGAACTCGGAAGCACCGTCATTTCAGTCCCGTTAATTGCAATTTTGGAAAGCATTGCTATTGCCAAAGCCTTTGGTACGTTGCTCAAACAATTTAATTCCACATTTTTGTCAAGATATATGCTCTAAATGCTTTTTCTTTTAATCAAAATCAAAATTAACAAGAGACAAAGATTAAATTAAAATTCATATGAAACAGAAGTTGAAGTAAGGAAAAAAATAAGGAGAAATCGCAGTTAAATCAGAGCAGCTATTACATTAAATTATATAATAAGTTTCGACTCGTGAAGAAAGTTTGGTAACCAAGTATTTGAAAACAAAGTTAATTATAATTCTTCTTTGTGCGCGCGATACAACGAGAGAACGCATTGAATTCCTCCTAGAATAATATTCCATTTAAACGAAAAATTCTTTTCCTTATCTCATCATTCAATTTATCGCTGATCTTTCCTTCCTAATAAATCCCTTTGTTAGTAAGAACAACTCTGCGTTTTTTACACACGGGAAAGGAAGGAATTTTAATTAATCTCGCACGTTGATTTGCCTAGCCAAAGGGAAAACCGTTGACGCTAATCAAGAGATGGTGGCGCTAGGACTTTGTAACATTTTTGGGAGCTTTTCTCGATCAATGCCAACCACAGGGAGCTTCACAAGGACCGCTGTAAACAACGCCTCGGGCGTAAAAACACCAATGGGCGGTTTAATTACCGGATCCCTGGTGCTTTTAGCGTGTGGCCTTCTGACTTCGACTTTCGAATTCATCCCCAAAGCAACGCTCGCCGCGGTGATCATAGTTGCCATGTACTACATGCTCGAGCTTCGTGTATTCCTCGTGCTCTGGAGGACGAAAAGTAACGTTGTACAAATTTCTCCTATAATTTGTAGTTACAGTTCAATTCAATCCATTGGTAAACGAAAGAATTATCTGAAACGATAATAGGATCTCCTCAGCTAATTAATTTGTTCGTAGAGATCGACTTGATACCTTTGACGGTGACTCTGTTGAGCTGCTTGGCAATTGGTCCGGAATACGGCATGATCGGTGGAACACTGGTAAATCTAATTCTCCTGCTCTATTTCGCGGCCAGGCCTGGATTATTGATCGAGGAGCGTGTTGTCGATGGGCTGACGATCTTGTTTGTATCGCCGAAACAATCGTTGAGCTATCCGGCCGCGGAATACCTGCGCGAACGTGTCATGTCGTGGTGAATAAGTTATAATAAGTTTCCAATCATAATTACCACCCGACCTGGTCGTTAGTTGTTCGTTTTGACCTGACGTTATCGTGTTCCTTAGGTGTGACACCAGGGCAGAGGCTATCCCCGTGGTAGTGGAAGGTCGTCACGTGCTTAGAATCGATGCGACCGTCGCCAAGAACCTCGCTTTGCTTCTCGCCGACTTGGAGGCCAGGGATCAGAGCCTGGTCTTTTGGAATTGGTGCGAGCAAGTGAAGAGAACTTTGATAAGCTACGACGCTTCCCTCCGTACGTCCTTCAAAAGTTGCGGCAGCATAGCGCAAATATTTTCACCCAGACTCGCGCCACGCGAGTAAAAATTGTGAATTTAACAAACGCGGGTCTGACGCTGGGCCACGCTCCAATTAAGAATTAGCCCTTCCATGCAACTTTGGTTTTGATAATTGCTTCGATGCTCGACGATGAGTCTATTGAAATTATTACTGGGATTCTTGCTGCAGGACAAATTGGAGATAAATGCTATTTCGTAATTACGTTCTGGACGTTGTGTGTATGATATTATGGAATTATAGTTGAAGAAAGATTCTTTATGTAGAAGGAGGAAATGATTTTAATAATTTGAAAGAGTAATTAGTTTTTATATCAAGTGTAGAAAGAGAATTTTTGCGAAATTGAATTCATTGAATCCTATAGCTCTTTCTTAAGTAATGTATAATGCATTTTTGTATGTAATTTTAATTTAATTTCTTACTTCAATCTTCTTATTTATGTATGTAAATTCCTTCTTTTCTATTCCATGAAATTTTATTGATTTCATTATTTTCATTGGTGATAATTTTCATCAAATTATCATTATTTTAGTTTATTAATGGTACTTCAAATCATGGTATTTCAACTGTGCATTCATATTTTTCTAATTTCTAATCTCGTTTTACATTTTTCAAACTGCTTATCAGAGAAAAGCATGAATTATATATTTTATTACATCTTTTAAAATATTTGATTTTAGTATTTTGTGGTCAGGTAACGATAGATTTATACGTTAAGATCGAAAGTTGTTAAAGGATATCGATTATTATAATAACCTTTCTATTCGAGTAAAGTGAAACTTTATTTGGAAGTCCACTGTTGGAAAGTTTCATTCAATTTTCGTGACTATGTGATTCTGAATATCGAAAATTCCAAGCATTTATATAGATTATTTTATCGTTACATATGCGCATATGCGCAAAAAATAGTCTTCGAAAAATGCAATTAAATCATGTGATAGCGATGTGTTAATTTTATTTATTATTCGTTTTAATTCATTTCTATTTAATTAATTTTCTCTCAGTTATAAGATAATTTAAGTTTATAAACGCGTTTTTATGGTTTTTAATAAAACAGCGAGATCTGAAATATTTAATTATCGCATTTGCATAATCGAATTCTGTATTTTTAAATTGGTTTCACATTCCAACGTTATAATGTAAACTTTATATTATAAATTTCATCTTAAATTTTATAATAATAATAATAATAATAATTTTATTTCTAGTTTAATATAATTGATATAAAATGCTATTGTACCTGCAGTAAAAATAGTAATGATATAAAAATAATATAATATAAATAATATAAAATAGTAATAATAACGATAACGTAATTATTTGAAAGAAATTTGTGAAACCTAAGTCGAATTTTAAACTATGTAAAAAAAAAAAAAACAAATGGAATCTTATCGATCTTATATAAAATTTTACGAAATATCGTTTTTGTATACATTAATATTTAAAAAAATTTTAAGTATAAACATAGAATAAATATTAGAATTTAACTTTATGTTAAATAAAAATTATATTACATTGGTAAACTTAAGCGTGTCTTATATAACAATTTTAGAATTATATGATCTAATAATTTTGATGATTAAATCTACAATTATGCCTTTTCAATTAATGTTCTCGCAAATTTTATCGGTAAATAAGTTTGGTACGAAAATTGTCTTATTGTTTAATTATATAACAAGAACAGATTGATCTCATAGATTATTTTTACTATGCTATAATTAAATTAAATAATTAAATTTAACCATTATTATACAATATATAACGATCTATTTCATTATATAATTAAAATTCATTAATCATAATTAAAACAATAAGATTAAGTATTATTTGAAAAACGATTGTTTCTCAACTTGCATTACATCGTTGCATTACATTATTATTTAATTAAATTCTACGTATAAAATGGTATTATGCATTCCTTAACCAATTTGTAAATGTTTTTCTTCTATTATTTTAAAATATTTTATTTTAGATTTCTTTTTTTCTTACCTCAAAGTAAATTATTACAATTTATTTGCACAATTCAACAATATTAAAACATAAAAGTTAAAAATATAGCTCGGAGGATGCTTCTGCGCCCTTTTTCTTATAACCCTATCACGCATGCGTAAGAAATATCTCGCGTTCACGATTGCGCGCGCATCGATAATCGACCAATAAGAAAGCTGGATAGTAGAGGGTGCTTCGATCGATGCTCTCGTCCTAGGAGTGTGCGCCAGTGGGCGACCGTTTACAACGCGATAAGCGTCGCGGCGCCCTCAACGACAGGCAAGTTGAGGACGTCGTCCTAGTGCGTCCGCTTTTCATTCGGTTGTGCTTCCTCGTGCGGGTTCGTTGTGTCAATCCACGAAAAACGAGATCCTCGATCCCGATAAATCGTCGATCGTTGGTGTTGTTACAATTCGTGTTTACGACGGACGGCTGTTAAAACGATCGCGATGAAACCATGAATCAGACGGTTGTGACCAACGACAACAGTCAAGAAGATGCCGGTACACCACTTGAACACGGGAAATGCGGGCCAGCTGGACAGTGTTGCTGTGTAATCGTGAGTAATTTTGAATTTTATTCGTCGAAATCATTTCGGAATGTGATCATAGGTTCGTGTTTCGAATCGTATCGAGCAATTTCTTATAAAGGTCAGTGTACTTAACAGTTGTTCAATTTCTGTCACGATTAACCGACATACGGGGCGAGAGATTGTCTCGTGGATTCGTACATGTGTGTCACGATTCGGGTGACCGTAGTTGATATAACCTTCGAGCTAAACTAAGTTTTTATTATTTATTACGTTATTGAACTTCAAAGCAATTTTCCTTGTTATTGTTTCATATCCTATTGATATTTATAATTCTTTATAACATTTTAGAATTAGATACAGATTTTTCTAAAAAATTTAATTAGGTTATACATGTATAAATATCGATTAGAAATTGTTTCAAAAATAATATTTTCGATCATATAATCGAAAGTCGATAATCGAAAAATCCCGCGAATTGCGTATTTAAAAGTTGAAATAAAAATTTAATGATATACTTGTATAGATACTATTATTTTTTACATTTGTTATAAATTTGAAATTTGAATCGCAAATATATCGTTTATATATAATATTAGTTATTGGTGTTTTGAGGCGAAAGTAATATATTAAAATAGAGAAAAAGAATCTAAATTATAATTTATTTTTTATTTTATTTTATTAATTTTTTTTTTTTTGATCAAAAAATAGATCAACTTTCTTTATTAATTACATTCGAAACAAGATAGAATAGATTTAGACATTTATTGGATTTCTAGATAATTTTTGGGAATTAAATGTCAGAGGAGGAAGTTGAATTTCGAATTTATAATACGACATATTAAAATTTAAAATTTATTATTTAATGATACAAAAGTTAAATAAATATTAAATTTATCGATTCTTTATTTTTTCAAAAGAAGATCTATTTAAAAGGAAATAAATTTATCAAATCATTTTTTTTAAAACGTATGGTATATAAAAAAATTTACGGAAATTTCTAAGAATTTAAAAAATTCAACGCAACGAGAAAATTAAATTTTCTTATTTCGATCTCGTTTGATTCGGCAACAGAATTATTTATAATAAATTTCACATCTCGCACGTAAAATAAATATTTCAATAAATATTTTAAATAGTAGTACAAAATACATATATATTTCGTTTAAATTTTAAATCCAAATTGTTTTACACAAAGAATTTCACGCGCAATAGCTTCCTATCATACCGATTCACAGGTTTCCTATACATACATGTATAGTTTCACTGTTACCAACCTTACCAAGTAGGAATATTTCGATTTCGATTCACGGTGCCGCGTTACACGCATTTCCCGGTACAAACTTTGTTAGCAAATCCCAATTGATTACCGAGTGCTCTCCCAGTGAACTTGCTTTTATGCTTATTGCCGGCTACGCAAACACATGCTCGAGTGTGAGTGGTGCTAGGACCGATACACGAGATCGGGTTATATTATTCATGAATGTGTATCACCGTTTCAAACGAAACAGCGACTGGCACACGTGAAATTCACGATGCGACCTGTGAACGGGACGATTCGGCCAGTGGAAACAAGTTGAACGTATGGGGTGAAATTTGGCCGCGCGTGTATATATATGGTACATTGGTTTTTTTTTTTTTTTTTTTTTCTCGGGGGAATTGAATTTCAATTTCACGAAGTATACGCGTACCTCGGCTGAGGTTCGATTAATATTTGATTCCATTCCGTTGCATATAGATCGTCGAATTTCAAACTTTTCTTTCCTTTTTCTTCCGGTAATATTTTTTATTTCGAATTGTTGGATAATACGATTTGATAATTCGTTTTGTCCAGTTCTAATCGTAATAAATAATTTCTTGTTTAAACGTGAGATAATAAGATATAGAATAAAATTTTTTCGCATAGAATTCTCTGTATTCGAGAAAATAAAGTAAAATAAAGTCGTATATAAATTTAGACACAATCACGTTTCGTTCGCTCTGATAAAGTAAAACGAAATTTCATACTTGATTTTCTCGAAGATGAAATCTCTTGCGAAAAAAATTTCATTCCATATTTTCGACCATATTTTTAAATCTCCTTTTCGATCGTATCATCCTTGCATTATCGTTTCACTTCTTCGCCATCTATTTTTATTATCAAACAAGCAATATACGATTCCAATCGGATGAAATTAATAAAAAATTTAAATTTAAACGAGATAAATAATTCGAAGATATCACGTTATACTTTCCCCTCCTTTATTCTTGCCCTTCAAACCCCGCCCGTATTATGCTAATTACATTTAATAATGCTCGAACAAGGAACGGAATAGCACACGCAGGATTTGCATCCGCGTTATTACGAAATTATTACATCAATGACGTATCCCCGATGAATTATTAATAAACTCGAAGGTTTGAATCAGGTTTGGCTGTATTTCGTATTAATATTTTAATCTAACCCCCGGTTGCATTTTAACGAGAAAGTGGCGAACCGTGTGATGGATGAATTAACAATTCATAATGCGTGAGCGTAATTGGAGCTAATCTTTTGTTATCAATTTTGCTCTCGTTTAGGTTAAATAAATGTGTAAATACCGAAATATAAACGACATACGTGTCGTTACAAGCGGAAGATTAAATTTCACGCGTGTGGAACGAATTAATACGTGATTTGTCTCGTATGATTTGTTAATCATTTTATCATCTTTCCCATTCTATCGTAATTACATCGAACGAGTAGTAAATTCTTCGATGCAACAGTTCGAAAGAGATTCGTAGCAATTTTTTCTAGCGATTTTATTCTAATGAGAACTACGATTTAATATTCCGTGAAAAGGACAGAGAAAATTTTCTAGACCGAGTGAAAAATTATTATAATTGGCGCGATAAAAATCATAATCTCGCGTGTCAATAATAATAAGTAATAATAAGTAAATCAAATGCACACAAGTGTAAATATTGATCGTGAGAATCAACGTTTCGAAGCCCGCGATAAATGATCCAGACATTTGTTACTTTTTACGTAATCTTGCACGTTCATCTACGATTAGAAGCATTAAATTGCCGAGGTGTAACCTTCAGCCACACCACCTAGGGAATTACTTTCCACGAATTCAGACATCACCATCCATTTCGACCATGACTTTCATGACGATGAATCTTCCGTTCCTGTTAATGAGGCCTGCCACTGATGAAAAGTCTTTCGCTGTTAATCACTACTCGGATAATACGCTCGAGCTCTTTATCAATCCCCCCCCCGCACTCTTGATATTCGAAAAAATCGGGAATTCGAAAATCTCAAATGTTTCAAATTTTTAGATAATCATATCGATGTGCTTCAGGGAAATATTTCGATCTACTTTAAAATTTCTCCATTCGAAATTTTCGAGTTTCTGAATTTCAATTTTTATTAAATCTAATTTAAGTTTGCATTTCTTAATTCTTATAATGTTGTGCCAGTCTCGATGACTTGGCTCAATTTCGATCGAAACGTTTTTCTTCTACGTACGCTCGGCTAATTTATTCGAGTTTTTCGAAGTTTTACCAACAGAGGAGAAACAATTTTAATAACGAAAAACCCGTTACCAACTATTTTTCGTAGGAAACGAGGTAGCAGCCATTCGTCTTTCAACGTTGACTAGTGGGCGTCTCTTTTTTTAATCCTCTTATCTTCAGGCTGATTTATCTGTTGCACACTACTTGCTCCGTTTCTCTCATTAAAATCGAACGATACAGATAAAAAAGACGAACGATTGTCGAATGATCTAACAAGTGTCGGCTGACTCAGCTGCTCTTAAACTTAACGAGTTTCGAGGCTTTTTTACGACCGCACTTTAATAGCGAACCGTTTAACCGTTAGATAATTCTCTTTTTAAACTTATCGCGAGAAATTCTAACGGTTGATCGCTACATTGCGTATCGTATTTTTCTTTTCTTTTTTACTGGTAATAAATTTTAATTTTCCGCGTTTCTTTTCTCGCTAATTATTTTATTATTAAGTCAAGGATCGAACAGAGGGAATTAAAACGCGAAACAAATAAGACGAAAAATCGTTCTTTCTCGCCCGATATAAAATTTATTCATCGGATAATAACAATATAATGTTATTTTCTCTCGATCAAATTAATTCGCCAATCAATTAAATTTTTTTCATCGCCTCTTAACGAAAAATAATTCATCCAAAAAAAGTAGATCTCGAGGATCACACCTGTTCTCTAAGCGAACGAATATGTTTAGCAAATGTGAAATGATGAGTGAAGGGAGGAAGACGGATCATTTGTCACCGAGGTGGAAAACAATAAAGCGAGAGAGGAGAAATTTATCGCCCCTCCTAATTGCTCTGCCACGCTACTTTTCCACGGGACGTTTCCTCCTCCCTCTGTTCTTCAAAGCGGGGCAACGACGAACGAGATGGCATCTATCTAAGCGTCGCGCTAGGCTTTTATATACCAACTTTGTTATCTTCTATTGTGACGCGAAAGGGTAAAGAGCGAAGAGATCTGTTCCCTGAAAATGGAAGAAATTTTATATATATATGAGACGAGAGGAAAACGTGACGTAAATGTTGGTGGCCTTTTTCGAGGCTTCGAGTTCCTCCGGAAATATCTCGATGGACGGTGAGAAGAGGGTGTTTTGAGGGTGTTCTCCTTGCCAATGTCAATTTTAGCAGAAGTTAAGGAAGGTTTTTATTTGTCAATTCGCAAATTTGGATGTTTTCGATGGTTTAAATAAGAAAATATCGAAAATTAACTCTTTTTTTTAATTTAATTTTCCAACGAAAATTTGAAACATCGTAGGTGATCGGATAATGAATGGTCGTTGATTGTTTTTTTTTTTTTTCGCTCTTTGTTATTGGTGAATAATTTATTTCGTATAAAATGATGAGATCGTGAGAAATTAAACTGTTCGCGAGTATATTTATTTTGTTTTAATTGCCAGTTGAAATTGGATGATTGCGTAGTGTAATGAATCCTTTTTTTTTTTACAATTTTACTAGAAATTTGTTCGAATATATTTTTCGTTCAATTAAAATACGGATGATTATA